GGGCTGCTTCCATATCTTGGCTATTGTACATACGCTGCAATGAACATAGGGGGCATATGTTCTTTCCAATTATGTGTTGGGTTTCTTCAGATGTACATCCAGAAGTGGAATGGTTGGGTCATAAGGCAGTTCCATTTTTAATTTTTTGAGGAACCTCCACACTGTCTCCCACAGGGCTGCACCAGTCTATGTTCCCTCCAACTGTGTGTGAGGGCTCCCCCTTGTCCACATCTTCACCAAATCTTGTTGCTTGTTGATGTATTGATGACAGCCATTCTGACAGGTGGGAGGTGATATTTCAGTGTGGTTTTAATTTGCATTTCTTTAATAATTAGTGACATTGGGCATCTTTTCATAGGTCTGTTGGCTTTCTGTATGTCCTTCTTTTGCTATTTATATCTTATTTTCTACAATTTAATTTATTGTGGTGACATTGGTTAACAAGATTATAGCGGTTTTCAGTGTGCAGTTCTATGGTACATCATCTGTATCTTGCATTGTGTGCCCATCACCCAAAGTCACGTCTTCTGTCACCTGTATTGACCCCTTTTCCCTTTCCTCCCACCCCACCCCCTGTCCTCTGGTGACCACCATACTGTTATCTGTATCTATGAGTTTTGGTTTCTTTCTTTTTCTTGTTTGTTCATTTGCTGCTTTCAGTTTTATATTTCATATGTGAGTGAAATCGTATGGTTTTTAACTTTTTCTGTCTGACTTATTTAATTTGCATGATATTCTCAGGATCCATCCATGTTGTCCTAAATGGCTGTATGTCATGTTTTCTGATGGCTGAGGAGTATTCCATTGTAAACATGTATCACACCTCTATCCAATCATCTAGCAAAGAACACTTCCGCTGTTTCCATCTTGGCCACTGTCAACAATGCTGCAGTGAACGTGGTGTATATATATATATATATTTTAAAACATATTTTTATTGAATTCAGAGAGGAAGGGAGAGGGATAAAGAGATATAAACATGAACAATGACAGAGAATCATTGATAGGCTGTCTCTTGCATGCCCCCTATGGGATCAAGTCTGCAACTCAGGCATGTGCCCTTGACTGGAATTGAACTTGGAACCCTCCATTCCCCAGGCTGACACTCTAGCCCAGGGGTGGGCAAACTTTTTGACTCGAGGGCCACAATGGGTTCTTAAACTGGACCGGAGGGCAGGAACTAAAGCATGGATGGAGTGTTTGTATGAACTAATATAAATTCAAAGTAAACATGATTACATAAAAGGGTATGGTCTTTTTTTTTTTTTTTTAGTTTTATTCATTTCAAATGGGCCAGATATGGCCCGCGGGCCATAGTTTACCCACGGCTGCTCTAGCTGCTGAGCCAGACCAGCTAGGACAAAAGAGAGCCTTGCTGGGTAAAGTAGTCTTGGTTGTAAAGTCTTGCTCTTTATCACTTTAAATATTTCGTGCCAATCTCTTCTGCCTGAATAGTTTCTGTTGAGAAATTGGACTTATGGGACCTCACTTGTCAGTAACTGTCTTTCTCTTACTGATTTTAAGATTCTCTCTTCGTCTTTAACCTCTGCCATTTTAATTATAATGTGTCTTGGTGTGGGCTCTTTGGGTTCATCTTGTTTGGGACTCTCTGTTCTTCCTGGGCTTGTATGTTTTTTTCTTCACCAGGTTGGGGAAGTTTTAAATCATTATTTCTTCAAATAGGTTCTCACCCCTTGCTCTCTCTCTCCTTCTGGTACCCATCCCTATGGTGCAAACGTTCTGCTTCATGTTGTCCCAGAGCAGCGGTCGCCAAGCTTTTGGACCTCACAGACCACCAGTTGGTGACCGCTGTCCCAGAGGTCCCTTAAACTATCCTAATTTAAAAAATCTTTTTTTCTTTTCACTACTCTGATTAGGTAATTTCTGCTGTCTTGTCATTTAAATTGCAAATTTCACTTTGTGCTTTATCTAACCTGCTATTGATTCCTTCTAGAGTATTCATTTCAGATCTCATATTTTTCATTTCTGACTGTTTTCTCTTATGGTTTCTAGTCCTTTCGTTATGCTTACTGTCTCTCTATTGCAGTCCTCACTGAGCTCATCCACCTTCCACTATGTTCCGTGAGCATCCCTAGGACCATTGTTTTGAACTCTATATCTGGTACATGGCTTGTTTCCATGGCATTTAGTTCTTTTTCTAGGGATTTCTCCTGTTGTTTCATTTGGGGCATGCTTCTTTGTCTCCCCATCTTGGCTGCCTCTCTGTATTTGTTTCTCTGTGTTAGGTAGATCTGTTATGTCCCCAGTCTTGGTAGGGTGGCTTTTTGGAGTACATGTCCTGTGGAGCTCAGTGGTGCAGTCTCCCTGATTCCCTAAGCTGGCTGCCCCAGGAATGTCCCTGGTGTGAGTTCGGGGAACCCTGCTGTTGTAGTTGAGTCCTGATTGTTGTTGGCCTGTGGTAGGCAGGGTTGACCCTCAAGCTGACTGACTGAGTATTGACCTGATCACACTGTATGAGCTGCTGTGAGTAGGCTGACCCCATGATCCAGAATTGGCCCCAGCAGGGTCAGGTGCCTGTGGAGATCTCCCTTTCAGTGTGCCGCTTGTGGAGCTAATTGGTTGTTCTCTGCTGTGGGCTAGTTCTGGGGCCTCCAGGGAGGCACTGTGGTGCACGTCAATGTCAGACACTGCCTGTGACCTATCCTGGGCTGCCTGTTAGACGCTACAATGTGATCCACAGTTGGTGGCTCCCTCTGCCAGTCCTGGGTGCACGTGGGAGGGGCCAAGCTGCATACTGAGGCTGATTCCCAGCAATACCAAAGCACCCCAAAATCTGCCTCTGCCTACCAGTTGCCATTAGGCTCAGCCACTGATAGAGCCTCCAGCTAAGCTAGGTGCCCAGAAATGTATGTCCCTTGTGTGGGTGAGGTGAGCCCTGCTGTGGTAGTTGAGGTGCATGAGGTAGATTCTCTATGAGTTATTGGGTTATGGCGAGTGGTGTTCATCAGGTTGATACAGATTCAAACTCAGCACCAGTGCTGCGTGTGACACCACCTAACAAAAGTCTCAGGGCACACCAACGCCAGCCAGCACCACCCAGCACCCACCCCCACCAGGGGTCTTCAAATCTTTGCAGTGGGGTAGGGTCTCTGGGTGTCATCAGGGTGAGGCCAGTAGAGTTCCTCAGGATCTCACAGATTAGGATTGGCAGTGAGGAGGGAGGGCAGTGCACAGTGGAGCTAGTCGGGTGCCTGGGGAAATGGCCCTCGCCTCAGAGACACACAACTCTGTCTCTCCCTGTGTGTCTCCAACAGCCCTGGAGTCTGCTCAGACCTCCTCCAGAGCTTCTGAGAAAGTCTGTGTGGGCCCAGGCTGGTTGCAGCTGGCATACTCCCCTGCAGGGCATGAGCTTGGTTTGCTGAGCCAACTGGCAGCCTAGAGTGGTGTGGGGAGGGGCACGTTCATTCCCCCAGGCTGATGCCCTATGTAGGGGATGTTCAACTCAGGAAAGATGACATCTGTTGGCATGTGGGAGAGGACTCAGCCCAGGATAATGGAAGCTGCCCCTCCAGCCCTCTCCCCAAAGTCATACAACCAATCTCTCCCTGTGTGGGTCCCGTCCACTCTGGGCTGCTGTCGGTCCACTGAAGCCCAGTCAGGTTGAGTACCTGCCATAGAGATGTTTGTGCACTGGCCCTTTATAAGGGCTTCCGGGTGCCTGGCAGTCCCCTGTCTCACTCTGGCAAGTGCAGGCCCCACTGAGTTCACAGCCAGATGTTGTGTAGCTCCTCTTCCAGGCACTGGTGTTCCAGGCTGGGAGCTCACGACGGGGTGGAGACCACTCCCTTCTCAGAGGGGACCTTTGCAGCTGAGGTGTCCCTCCTAACTCTCAATGCAGCCCTTTCTGTGTCTCCACCCTCCCTGCCCGTCTCCATGTGGCTTCTTCCATGTGTTCTTAATGATGAGACTTCCTTTCAGCCAGTCTTCAGTTGGTTATTCAGGTTGGGTGTCTATAATTTAGTTGCGATTCCGATTTGGTCCTGGGAGGAGGTGAGTGTCACTTCCACCTACTCTGTCTCCATCTTGGATCCCTGTTTTCAGTTCTTTGGGGTACAGACTAGGAGTGGAAGTTCTGGGCCATGTGCTAATTCTACATTTGGTTACTAGAGGGGGGATTTTCTGTTGAGCCTAAATGTGTGCAGAGCTGGGGTTTCATGATCAGATTCATGGACACTGAGGACACAGGTGTTTGCTCTGCCAGGCCCACAGGCCCTCCTGAGGCTCTGCCTGGGTCCTCCCCTCGCCCTGTGGGGGTGTGTGGACCTTGATTGTCCTCCTGAGGATGAGCCAGTCTGGGAGCGAGGGGCATTTCCCTCAATCAGAATGAAGACCCACCCATCATCGCAGAAGTGTGTCCTGACTGTAGTGATGCATTTTTCTGGGGTGAGCCCTCATCCCTTCCTTTTCAAGGCGAACAATCCTGGGATAACTCTCTCCTCAGGCCTGTGGAGCCCAGACTCTGGCTGATGAAGTGCTGTGTCCTAGAACTGAATGGGTTTAGTGGATGCTGGGAAGCTCAGTTACTCGCCAGGTGTAGCTGCTCTAGACCCAAGAGTCAGGGCCCAGAAGGACTGGAAACAGTACCTTGTTGTTGGGAAGGAGCAGAAGCCTGGACCAGCCCTGGTTCTCAACCAGCCCCTCCCCACAGCTCCACGGCTCTGGCCCTACCAGCTGCAGGAGGTGATGGTTCCCATTGTGGGGAACGAGGTCTGTAACCAGCGCTACCAGAACTCTTCCACCAACACTGGCCAGATCATCAAGGATGACATGCTGTGCGCTGGGAGTGAGAGCTAGGACTCCTGCCAGGTGAGCCCCACCTGCCCCGTCCTCTGTCCTCTGTCTCCTCCTGGCCCAGGGAATCGGGACTCAGAAGCTCCAAGCAGTGGCCCGTGTGGAAATGTCCACTGAGTCCTGCCTCTCCCCACAGGGTGACTCCGGGGGGCCCCCTAGTGTGCAGCTGGGAAGGCACCTGGGTCCAGGTAGGGATCGTGAGCTGGGGATACAGCTGTGGTCATCGCGACTTCCCTGGGGTCTATGCCCGGGTGATGAGCTACATTTCTTGCATCCGGAAGTATGTCCCTCCGCCCCCTGGATCCTAGATGAGGCCAGGCAGGGTTCCCATGATGGGGAGACCCTCAGTCTTCCTTGTGGACACCCCTGTTCTTTCCCAAATCCAGCCTCATCCTCCCACCTCCTCACCCTTCGTCTCACCCTCCACAGTGTCATGAGCCTCTTGCCCTCTGGGACCCCTCCTGTCCTACTTTAGGGTGGCAGACACAGGAGTTGCTCCGCAGGCTGGTGTCTCTCACAGTAGGGGGGCCAGGAAAGGGGCCTGGGTCCATGGCCTCCTGCTCACCCTGTGATTCCTATTAAACTTGGAAAAGCCAGCTCCAAACCGTGGCTGAGATGGTGGCATGGACTCATCATGGCGGTGACTGAGGGCGCAGTTGGGGCCTCCCTTAGAGTCCCCGGGTCCCAGGTCTCCGTGTTCGGGTGTGAGGAGGTTTCCAGGGCTCAGTTCCCTGTGACGGCATTTCTGGGAGCTCATGGGGGTTATGCTTGTCCCGGTGTCCCTCCCTCCACCCCTCCACTTCCTCTTCCTTCTTTCTCCCCTCCCTCCTTCCCCTGCTTCTTATTTTCCTTTTCTGCTCTTCTATGTTCTTCTCTCTCTCTCTTGTTTCATACTTGTTTCTTCTTAGTTCTCTTTCCTCTTCCCCTCCCTCCCTCCCTTAATTATCCTGGATCACAGGTGCCCAGCATGGACAAGGTCTCAGGGGAAGGAGTCACTGAGTGGATTCCTGGGCCCCTGGATCCCACAGGGAGGTGGGGACAGACATAACCACAGCACCGCAGTGAGTGTGGAACACGGTGTGGAGGTGGGTGCTGAACACAGAGCTGGGGGGACACAGGGCGTGATCCAGCCTCGACCTGCCGGGAGGGTTTGACGGGGCTGAGGTGCCAGGCCCAGCTCATGAAGCACCAGCGACGGTGGGCATTAGGGGGAGGGGCTCCAGGCAAAGGGACAGCGTTGGTGGGGACAGAGGTGGTGGGGACAGAGGTGGTGGGGACAGAGCAGTTGGGGACAGCGGAGTTGGGGACAGAGGTGGTGGGGACAGAGGTGGTGGTGACAGAGGTTTGAGCTTGGAAGGGATTTGGGGGGTGGAGGACCATTCACAAAGTGAGCTTGAATGTTGGCTTGTTTGGTTTTCAACATCAGCATCTCAGTAACAGAGGAATCATGAAAAACCCCATAAAACATGAAAGTGCTTCTTGTTAGATGGTTTGAGAGCCTCCAACTTCAGAGGCTTATTAGAGATTGAGAACCCCTTGTTAGGAACGTAAAAACCTGTCTGGAAAAACGAAAACGTAGTATTTGTACATAAATATGTGAGAATTTTCTAGAATCAAAGAAAAATTGTGAACCCTCAGTGGAAAGTGCCCTGTGAAATTCAGCAGAATAAACACAAATCAATTTTACACCTAAACCCATTGTAGTGAAACTGCACAATGTCCACATGAAAAGCCCACAGAGACAAGTGAGAGTTTAACCTAAAGGAAATGACGTCAGACGCAGGGGATTTCTGATCAGCAACAGGAGGAGGAAGGAGACCCTGGAGCAATTCCTTGGAAGTGGTGAGGAAACATCACCATCAACATAAAATTTTATTCCCAGATAAACTGTCACACAATATTGAGGAAAAAATAGTGATTTTATAAAACAGAAGAAACGAAGAGTGTCCTATCACCTGCAGGCACTCATTAACAGAACTATTTAAGGATTTATTCCAGGAAGAAGAAATACTAATTCGGAGGAATGTGTGGGACACAGGAAACAAAGCATTAATGGGAAAACACACTGCATGCCATTCTCCAGACACCCCTGATTGGCCATAAGCATTGACTGGCCTCCTTCATAATCAGAGGAAAACTGAGGGAAATAAAGGACAGGCAGTGTCACACTCATCAGGTTGGAGAAAATGAAAAAGTGCAATAAAACCACATGTTTGCAAAGATGTTGAGAAATGAGCAACTCATATGTGGAATCTAAAAAAACACACAAAGCAAATGAAGAAAACAGAAACAGACCCATAGATACAGAGAACAAGTGGGTGGTTGCCCAAGGGGAGAGGGTTGAAGGGTGGGTATAAAATTAATAAGGAAATAGACACAAAGCTGTCATTATCTCTATATTTATGACATGGTGTGTATATGCAAATAAATTTAAAAAAAGAAGAGAGGGCCCTGGCTAGTTTGGTTCAGTGGTTGAGGTGTCAGACTGCAGAGCGAAGAGGCCTGGGTTTGATTCCCAGTCAAGGGCATGTGCTTGGATTGCAGGTTTGATCCCTAGCTCCATGTTGGGGTGCCTGCAGGAGGCAACCAATTTTTATGCCTCTCACATTGATGCTTTTCTCTCCCCTCTCTCTCCCCTTCCCTTCCACTCTGTCTAAAAATCAATGGAAAAAAAATACCCTCAGGTGAGGATTAACAAAAAAGATAACAAGAGGGGATTTTGAGATAAAGTGCAGGTGGGCATTCAGGCCAGCAGCTGTGTGTGGGGAGGGAGGAGGGGAGCAGTACCCTGTACTGCTGCTCTGAGCAGGAATCCTTCTAGCCTCAGGCCCCCATTAGGGGTCCCAGGGTGTGGGTCTGAGTGATAGGAGTGGATGCACAGAGTGAGGGTGGGGCTGTGTGGGCATCAGGGTCAGGATCAAAGCCGGGGCTGTGATGAGGATGTCTGAGCCCTGATAGGGGAAGGCTGAGGGCAGGTGGGCAAATGGCACAGCGTCTGTTACCTAACAGCCCCATTTTGCAACACTGCAGTGGAGGCTGGGCCAGCGAGGGCGGGGTGGGGCTGCTGAGGGGGCAGCAATGTGCCAGCGTCCACGGGTCCTCACGTGTCACAATGGAGGTGTTGGACCCGGGGCAGGGATGGCTCCTGGAGGCCCTCATTCATGTCAATGGCTGTCCCATTCGGACCCCACCGAGCACGGGACAACTGTGACCACACTGACAATGACACTGACCTCACTCACTCTGCCCGACGGCTCAGAGGGACACAGGCCTCAGCACAGCTTTGTGTCCACAGGACGACCTTGCTCCTCACCGGGGGCAGCGCCTGTGACCGGCTTCTAGCTCCGCAGTGCCCGCCGGGGGTCTGACGATGGCCCCCCAGTTCTGTGTTCTGCTCCCTGGAGCCTCTCCTGGTGGCTGTCCTCCCACAGCCAGGCCCTCTGTCCTAGACCCGGGTGCCAGCCTGTGACACCCAGGCTGTCGGGGCTCCACCTGCACCATCCCCTCCTGCCTCCTGCTTGCTCTCCACTCTCCACTCCCCTCCCCCGGGAGACCCAGGCCCCCTGGTCCCCACCGTGTTCTAATGGGTGGGCATCTTGACTGGCATCACCTGGGCGCCCTAGGCTTTGCCTGCTGGGCTCCTACTGCACAGGCCCCGCAGCTGGAGGTGCAGCCGCCTCCCTGTGTTTTCCCATGGCCAGCCAGGCAGCAGCGTCCAGCTCCAAGGCTCCTCCCAGAGTGGCCTCCTCAGGTCACACCTGGCTCCAGCTGCTGTGGGCTGGGTTCCCAGAAGCCACAGACAGAGGCTCGGGAGCCTCCAGACAGGAATCAGGGGTCAGGAGCAGGAGACCCCTGGGTCAGGGAGGGCCAGGCCTCCGTAACTTTCTGTCATCCATCTTCAGATGTGGACAGCTGGGAGGGCCATGGCCTTGGCGTGCTGGCCCCCAGCTGTCCCAGCAGCAGGGCTGGCCCCTCCTTCCTGAAGGGACCCGAGGGAGGCTTGTCAACATCGGCCAGGATGCCGCTCTGAGGAGGTCACCGCTGAGGACACATTGCATCCACGGCCAGGAAAGCGCGTCAGCTGCTGGCCTTGTTTCTGTCCCTCCAGGCGGCCAAGCCTGGTTCCCACGGGGAAGGGATATGGTGAGGGGCACAGACTGAGGCAGCCCGCAACGTGTCTCCCATGTGCCAGAGAAGAAAGGAGGAGTGGGGTTCCAGGAATGAGGGAGCAACAAGGGCACACCTGGAGGAGGGGCGCCAAGGTGAGGAGAGGTCATGGTCTCAGTGACCGTGCTGTGCAGCCAGCGGGTGCAGGGGGATCTCAGAAGAATGGATGCCCAGGTCACTGCACTAGCAGTTGCTCCCAACTGTCCTAGCAGGGGCACTAGCTCCACCACCTCCAACCCCAGCGCCCACCCCGCCCCTGGAGGACAGAGGGAGAGGAAGAAGGGGTACCAAGCATAAGCCAGCCTTTGTGGCTTCCCCCCACTAGAGTGCGAGGGTGAGCCCCCAGGGAAGCCAGGAAGATAGTGCGGGTCCCTCCTGCAGAGTCCTCAGCATCTCCCAGCACCTGTCACTGTCAGGTGCCCAACATACCATAGGCCGCCTGCAGGTGCAGCTCGGGGCCTACACCCCGGTGTCCACAGAGGGGTCCCTTGGCTCAGCGCTGAGCCCAGCCCAGAAGCTGCGCTTTTGTTCCCCAGCTCCCCTCTAGCCATTTCCCCCAGAGCTCCAGACATCCTGGGAGCCCTTTGTAGCAGGGCCGAGTCTCAGGTTCATCCCTGAACCCCAGGAACATGGGGCAGGGGCTGGGCACTGAGTGGGAACTCAGTTTTCACCCCCAAATGTTAACAAAACACTGCCTAAGAGAGGGCACCCGGCTGACAGGAAGCAGCCGTCAGGGGACAGCAGGGGGCAGAGGCTGGGCTCATGCAGAGTCCTGGCCCAGAGCTCCCACCAGGGGGCAGCCGAGAGCAGAGGCTGGACTCCTGCAGTGTCCTTGGCCCAGAGCCCCCACCAGGGGGCAGCAGAGAGAAGAGGCTGGGCTCCTACAGCATCCTTGGCCCAGAGCCCCCACCAGGGGGCGGCAGAGAGCAGAGGCTGGGCTCCTGCAGGGTCCCCACCCAAAGCACCCTGACCCTCCCCCAGCCCCCACTCCACGTTTCCTCCTTAAATTTGATCAACTGTTGTACAAATTGTCAGTTATAAAAAGTCATAGGGATGTACAGTATAGCATAGGAAATATAATAATGTTGTAATAACTATGTATAGTGTCAGATGGGTACCAAACTTATGGGGGCGAGGTGGA